TGCTGTCATTGTCACCCATGTTCCGAATACATTCAACTTTTTGGGAGTGCTTGACCTACAAAATCACACTCAAAATAATCAGATTATCGAGAGCGATTGAAGTGCCTCAAACTGTATCAACGAAATCACACGAGCGTCGCAGCAATCAAAAGTGCGACTCCCCTTATGAAGCTGATATCACTCCAACCTGATCCGGGTTTTTGCAGTGTTAGGCTTGCTGCATCCTTTGATGATTGTTATCGAAGCGTCATGAGTATTTAGTCGAGTGCCATGGACACAACTGTTCATTTCATTGTTTCAAAGCTTAGTTGCACACCAGAATAAGCAAACCTAGGTCACATACATTTGACGAGATATAAATATGAGTGAAACTTGTTCACGTATAACGGTTTGCGTAGGATTTACTACATTCAATTTAATATAGAATGGTATATAAACATATAAATATCCGTTTTTAATTCTGAAAGTCAATAAATTTGTTTCCTGTATCCTTAAGTTGTTTTATGACTGTAGTAATGGAGTAGTTGCACGGATTACCATTAGATATTTGGTACGTATACAAAAGGTCTCTGAAAAGCGACAACTGGTACTTAGTGGAATTCCGGTCGGTTCATTGATGATTTCAATACAGTTTAACTTACACTTTTGATAAGTGGATGTCAATCACACTTTTCACTTAGTTGCTACGTCATAATAAAAAGCAAACGGAAGGGTGGCAATATCGGTAATATTGATCGGTAAAAAGGTGAACAGTTCACCAAGAACGGTCTGCAAATGTGTGGCGTTTCCAGGTAACTTTTGACTTAGTATCGTGGAAGCAAAGATTGATTCCTGTTCCCCACAAATCTCTGAAAATTTGCGAATGCAGGAAATAAATCCATACGTAATCTGGCTAGATGGGTGGTGCTTCTTCCCTGTTTTATGACAAACAGTCGAAGCAGTCATAAAGAGCACTGGTCACTAATGTGACAGCGTCCAATCTAAACAAACGCATAAACGACTGTTTGTGTGGTTGTACGTTTTCTCGTTAAACGAAGAATCGATTAACCTATTTTGTGCGCGTTTTCCACATTACGGGGATGGGATTCATAGACTGACATTGTATATTCTTCGATTTAAAGTCGAAGTACATATGCCAGGCTATAAACTAACTACGGTTTCTTGTCCAATGTCTGTTCATCGTGCCAAATTTTGACCAATCGGTGTCGTTTTTGGAGATTTTAAGGCATTCATTCTCACACTATCATGGTTACACAATTTATATCATCAGGGGTGTCGAATGGTGGCGAGAACTGTAGAGGATTCCCGAGAGTTACTTTGGAATCGTATGAAAATAAAGGGTAGCAAACACTTACGTCCATAAGACTGATGTCAGTATGCAAATTCCAGTGCGTAATCGCACCTAGCACTCAAGTGTTTTCCGCAAAACGTTAGGATATGTTTGCTGAAGCTGATTGTTCCCAATCAAACTTTACGCGTTCTTTCTGACATTTTAATTGAAAATCTATATACAAGCCTGTCCACAGTTACAATATGCCAGCGAATATTGAAGTATATACTACTTCGTCTCCAGCTTATTCATTTTGCTTAGATAAATTAGGTATTTAGTTGAAGCCGCTTGCAATCCATATTCCTGGAATGTCATTCATGCCATACGATTATTTTATTTAACGTTAGAATGAATAACACAGTTCACTCACCCAGTACTTCTCAAATAAATGATGCTAATTTCCTCGGAAGGGTTAGGTAGCGACCAGTATATTTATTGCTGGGTAACGTTTCGCTTTTGACACAAAAGCTTCGCCAGATCAGGTGACTAGTTTACCAGGTTGCCTGGCAATAAATCTGCCGACTGTTAGCAAACCTTTCCGAAAGAGATGACTACTCGACAGATTATTCTCAGTCTTCTCTGTATCACACACTCTGACTAGTCCATAGCTACAGTGGACACATTGGGAGTAAACAAGAGATGCTTACTTATACAAAAATCTTGCAAAAACAATATAACTCCATCAGTATTATAACGCAGTAAGACATTGGGGTAGAGAATGAACTATGCAGATCATTTGAATGGTGACGAACACAATTTCAAACTCAGTCCGAATAATCTTGTACCAATAAGTGAGATCTGATGTCTAATATGAAAAGTTTTGAAATCAAAAAAGGCGTAGTGGGAATACAGGTTCTAACCTGGCGTCTTGAATAAGGCGAGGAATTTTTTCCAGGGACTTTGTCAACAAAATGAATGTGAGTGACTTGTAGTGATGTGTAACCAATGTTCAGAACACCGTCTTTCCCTCTTGGAGCAGCATTTCAAAGTAGCTGAAGCGGATAGGTGAAGTGAGTATTCTTGAAAGAAAACACAATTTGCTCAACCTTCAGAGAGCCATGAAGAATACCATAAAAGTGTTCGATTTTATGGTGATTTCTCTTCAGTCAGGAATTTGTCCGAAAAAATCAGACCTAATAGAATGGATAAAATCCCATCGGTTACTGTTTTGAAAGTCATCTTGGGTTACCTAATGTCTACTGTTTGCACTTGCAGTATATTTGGTATGGACAAGATGCTAAAACGTCACCTGTGACGCGTTGAATACCAAGTCAGCCCTCATGGCCGCATCATCTGCGTCTGCGGAAGTTTTTGTTCTGATTATGATTGCATTGTTTTGTGCACCTCAAATGAAGGTTCCAGTCGATGAGCGTGCATGACATACTTGGGTCAGCGCCGTACTTGAAGGAATAGCAAGACACAGCAAGAAGACTGGAATGCCCTCATCTAACTTATATTCTCACCTGCAGCTATCGGTGATATGCATCTGTTGAAGTTGTGGGTTGATTAAAACGCACTAATTTCCGATTAGTAGTAAAACAACCTGTCAGTCGACCATAAGCAGCCGGGCAACTGTTTGACTTATCTTCATAGATAGACTGAAGTATCGCTCCTATTGCCTGTCGGCTGATCAAGTGACGCAATCTTAATTGAAAGGCCTATTTGACTTTAAGGTCCTTCATTCTTTCAGTCGAACAATGCCAAGTTCCAGCTGAAATTTTGTTTTGAATATAAGGTCTACCCGTAATTCCATGATATGCGCACAACCATTGGTTTCTAACAATACGGATAAGTCTGTACAGTGCTCGAAATGATTCATTCCAGAACACGAGTGCTTATATTAAATGAACCCAGACACGCAATATATGTGAAACCACCAGTTTCTGATCTTAATTATGTATTTTTCATTTGACCTGCCTTTATTGCTGTTATTTTCACATTTTTTCTTTTGAAACCGGAAGAAAGTAGGAGAGGCTTAGATGTGTCCTTTAGAGTGCACACAAGTATTTTAGGATATCTTTTTATCCGTTATCTGAAGTTACCAAGTGCACTCAGGGCTTTTCGGATGCGCTTCATCATCCTGCAACTGAAGCGATTAACAGCCATTTAGGCGGACATATTTTTGATGTAATCTCACTCCTTGCTTAAAACCGTGTAACTTATGATTCGCTCACTGAACCATGATCAATCCCGAGTCAACGGCCTATTACCGCAAGCCGTCAAAATTCAAAACCCCCCTTTGCTCCAGATACACCCATAATTCTGACTATTTTCAAAACAACGTCATGTATATCTAAATTAGGCTATTACAGAATTGAGGAACTCAAAACTTTGGAGGTGAGCTTGCCTCTACGATCAACGCATTATGGCGGCACTCTGCATGAAAAATGTGCAAGCCATCCAGATCGACAATGAACTGCAATAATTAAAGCATTTAGCAAATACTGTATATTCGATTATATATTCAGCCCATTCGACTTCTGAAGGACACAATGAGAGCGTGCATTCGAATGTTTTAACAGACAAGTGTTGCATTCCTGAGGCGAAAAACGTGACTATTTTTAACTCCCGTGCAAAGAAAAGCTCAAAATTTAACCTGTCATTCAGTAAAAAAATTAGTGTTCTTCCGTCTTCACGCATCACCAGAAAAAATCCCGGGTTCGTCCAGAAATATATAGCTCTGATAGTGAATCTCCTGATAACTAAGACTTGGACACAACTGGGCCCTTCGTCAGACTTTCGAATGTATACTTCTAAGAAGAATATCAGAAATGTGAGAATAATTCGAGTCATATTTGAATCTCCTTCACACCAGCGTGTAAATTAATTAGTAATCCGATTTCAGTAGTTGTTCGAATAATCCAAGAGGGTTTACTGCAGCTAGAGAAAAAATGAAAATTTTCCAAGGTGCGACAACTGCTAGTTCCAGAGCAACATCGGACTTGCGGGTTGCTAGTTGATCACCGCCACACTTAACAAGACCACCGGACGAGAAATGTACTCGACGTACCCTAAGAGGAAGTTACCAAATCGTCTACGGATATGTTCAGGTGGCCAATGTTTTCAGATTTAACTAAACGCCGTGGATACCTAGTAAGGAATACAATCCGGTTCATCGGAGTGATGGTTAAAACGACTTCAAGCGTCCGGCAATGCAGCATAGTGTTCACTTAACACCCCTCTTCAAGATGAAATCACTCGCCACTCTCACATTACCAACCGGCCAAACGAATCCGTGACTTGCTCAACAAATTAAGGCACTATTTGTTGACATTAGCGAAACAGCCATGCGGGACCTGTTGAGCTATTTTTATGTGGCAGGCGATTACCACACAAAACCACTCGTATTCAGCCAGAAACCTGTAATTTCGCCCCGATGGTTGCATATGAGACGTCGTAATCCTTCACCGAAATATGTGAATTTTCTGGAAAGGATCTGAAGCCACTGCATATCGAGGTAGATGTTTTTTAGATGATAGTTGCTTTCGCGCTTTTCCATTTCTAATGGTATCCCCTGGTACAACCCTACACGCTTCTTTTGGGATTTGCTAAAAATTGTTCGTTTCGGTATTTGGAGTGTGTTTTATTTAGCGTATATAGTGAGTTTTGGTCGTTCACTATTCTCCAGTACAAGCAGTTCGGCAAGTCTCATCATTAATCTGATTGCCAGATGACTGTTGAAAGAGTTCAGCTGGGTAGACACCTAACAGAAGACAAGCTGGCGGACGATAAATCAAATGAAAATTCCGTCCTTTAAGTAAAGCCAGGCTATGCTGAAAAGCCGAGAAGCATCGTACAGCTGTTGCATCCTTACTGACGATCACTAAAAGTGTGTATCTCACGAAACTCCATGGAGTGTGGAAGCGCGATCTCTCGGGTAGCAGTTTGGACAATCAACCGTTCGGCCTTGATTAGCCCATCAGTGGCGTGATTAATTCGCACTTCTGGTATAGCGCCCTCATCCTTCACTCATGGGACCCATGTCACGTGATCACATGTGTTGAATGAATTCTCGAGCAACGGCTTCTCAGGTGGAAGAAAGTAATCACTAACATATAAAATGCACAGGCGAATCTTCCAAACGTCACGGAGGGAAGGCAAATGAGAGCTGAGTTCTGCAAAAGCGCTTATTGTTCGTACTTATGTTACATTTATAATAAATCTTTTTGATCGAGTTTCATACCTCATTTTATTTTGACGGAATTTTGTGTTATTTTTTTCCGGTGAGCACTTATTCCCAGCGCCAAAATATTCGTCATATCATTATTCATAGACCTTAGGTAAAAGCAATCCAAACCCATAAAATGTACCACTGGTTGCACTACAGATTATCCAGGCTGAGTCACTGTGCTGGCAAAAACTGATAGTATGACCAATTGGTATTCATGGAGTATGTTTCATTCTTTCTGCGTGCCCTACGTAAACGAAAAAACCCCTTGTCTGAACTACATGGGCTTTTCCACATAAACAACACACGGTCATTCGCATATACTGTAAACATGAGGCAGGTGTTACCGTTCTTCGTACAGAGGACTGGAGGAATGTCCAAGAAGGTAAGTGTCTCTGGTAAAAACGGTACAATGTGACCGTTTGGCATACAAGAACTTCCACCATAGACAAAGGAAGCTGGGGATATTTGGATGAGAAGTCATGCATTGGGCATATACAAGAAGTTATTATGTCGGTCACCTAGGGAAACCGATTCTGCGTTGTGCATGATGTTGTTTGGCAGTGTTTATAACGAACCGCGAGATACATATCCTGTTCCATGCTTGTGAGAATATTTGAAGTTTGCTTATCTTCTACCCTTCATGTTCTTCTCTTATACGTAAATTCACAACGTGTATAGGATAGGTGACAAAAGCGATACACTAGTATGAAGTTTGAACATTCGTACAGTGGATCACGCCCTCTTCTAGCGTCATAAATTGTAACCCGTTCGCTGAAGGCCTCTTGCTATCTGGTAGCGCTGGACAGCTGTCCATTTCAGATGCTAAAAATTCCAAAAAACCGATTGTTCAAACCCTAGTTAGAGCATATTTTCCGCCCCATTGCACAATTCAACGTTTTAAGTCAGAATCAAAACATGGGAAAACTGCTAATAAATATGTTGTAAAGGGAAAACTGGCTGAGAACATCATCGCTCATAATGGTTGAAATGGTTGAAATACTCTGAGAGTAGATCGAGTATGGGTCGGTACAATCTCTGATTGAACCACTGACCAACTGAGCCAATAGGCTTTTAGCCACTTCGGACACGAAGGTGCCGTGCAACCATCTGTACTCACACATGTTAGGTATTGATCAAGCAAATCAAAGGACAATGTAACAGATACTTGTAGATACTAAAGGACAGGACATTGGAACAAGAGAATTCAATTCAACAGACATACAGAAACGAATGCATCAAGAGAGAAGTTAAAGAAACGATCACGTAGAGTTATGTAAACACAACAAAAGAGAGACTGAATAATTAGGAAGAGAAACTTATTTGATCAGGCCTTGAAGCACCCATCTACACTGGTCAGTAGTAAAGCCAACCGAGAATTTGGTATACCTAAACTCACTTGTTCAGGGTACAAAAAATACAATCTCAAATCTCGGCTGTTGTAGTAACTACGTTTTGTTGTACACCACGTTTGCTTGTTTTTTTCAAGCTACATATGAATGTGTTTTCACGGAACGATGGTAAACCGTTGAGTAATCTGGTTTGAGACGAAGGCTCGAAGCCTATGTTTTATCCCGGCTGATGCACACCAAGTGTAGCAGCTTGTGTGAAGATCAGAATCGAACAAGTAGCACACGAACTCAATTGTTTTCATCAACGTTTGCGTCTATCAAACGGCTACAGTTTNTTGGTTATGTGGTTCGCAAAGAGAGACATAAGAATAGCGAGCGTCGCACAGCAAGACAGAAATTAAATCAGAACATAAGTTAAGAAGTCTGATGCGGTATACCTGTGCTTTGGGTGTGATTAAGATAATTGACCAGAAAGGGAAGATAATGAAGAAGGATAATCGTCACATATCAACCAAACTCACGGAGGGGTCAAGGCTACTGTAACAGAGAATTGGATAACCGCTCTCCGTAGGGTCTGCTCAGATGCCGTTGTTATGTAGGTGTGACCCGTTGTAATAAGGTGCCTATTTTTGACCATGGTTTCACCCGGGGCGGTTGAACTGATTGTGCGGCATGTTTTTAATAAGAATAAACTGGAGTCTAACATTATCATGCACCGTAAGATTTGAACAGCAAGCCAATCTGATGACACCTCAGCACAGCTGCCATGAGTAGGTAAACTCGGGACACCGAATTTAAAATGAGGCAGCATTCACCCTTGCCGACTTGGTGGGCGATAAATCCAACGCGCAATTAGTCAGTCAGGACTTAACAGGCAGCTGTAACGTGCGTGAATATGGAAAAATGAGGACACTTCTGGTTAAAACTGGTTACTCATGAGTAGTTGATGCGGACGGATGTTTCGCGGTTGTACCATAAACTGATTCCGAGAAAAGTCAATAGGAACGAGTCCAGCAATAAATCCAACCATTGTTTACCAAACCCCTCTGAAATTATGACTTCCCAATCGGTCCCAAACATTTTCCAATTGACTGAAAACATCTACGAACCATGTGTTCGGAAGCTGTCAAGTGAATATGTTCGATTGGCAAGATTGGAGGCTAACTGGGAGAACCATCGGATTTTCAACATTAGATGCATGAAGCACAACATAATTCCCAAATCTCTGGTTGTTAAGCCACCAGATGCGTCTCCCGCTTCTGCTCGAATTGCTTCTTCAGCGGCCAAGTCATTCCTCAAACAAAGGATCCATTTGACCACCCAACGTTTAACTGATATCCGCCAACGCGCATGTCATCTCAACGATGATCTTCAGTCCGCACTCTCGCCTGCTGAATTCGAATTGCTAGATACCAAAGCGAAGGAAGTGAAATCAGCTGAAGGTAAACAGTGCAAGGACAGACAAATACGTAAGTTCGAGAAATTGCTTTCTACAGCTCGCTGTTCTAGTAACACAGCAGAGAAGCGTAAGTCATCCACTAGCTATTGTAGCGTAGTCAATTTATCAGAAGAACGTTGTCTGTTGGAGAAAGAAATGAATTTTGCAGTAAGTAAAGGCGTTATAAGGGCGGAAGAGATCACCCCTAGTGTTGAGTTTGTATTTCAGAAGCTTCCTTCAATGGAAGCGGAAAAATTACGTGTACAGTTGGTCACAGTCCTGAAGTGTCGGCAAACAGGGGTTCCAGACATTGCACCAGCTGAGCGAACAGCCTTAACCACGTTAAAAAAGTGTAGACAGCATAGTAATAGTAGGTAAGGCCACGGTCGTCATCAATAAGAGTGACTATCTTCATAGAGTTAGACAACATATAGCTGATGGTCCTTACCGACAAATTAGTGACGGAAAGATCACGTCAATTATGAGTAAGAGTAAAGTTGAGGTTGGGAGGTATATAAGATCTGTGATAAACCATCTGGGGCAAGGCAAGTGGTATCGATTGTACCCAAAAAGTGCAATCCAACCACGACTGTACGGGTTACCGAAAATTCACAAGGAAGGTGTCCCCATAAGTCCAATAGTGGATGGCATAGGTTCACCACCGCATGAGCTGGCCAGATTTCTAGCAGGTATCCTCGAACCACTTGCCGGCAAGTCACTCACGCACATCCAAGATTCGTATGAATTTGCTAAAAAAAAGTAGCTGGGTTTCAGATAGAGCCAAACGAAGTCCTGGTTAGCTTTGATGTCAACTCGATGTATACCTATGTCCCTAAAGCGGATGCTGTGGAAGTAGCGAGAAGACTTTTACTGGCAGACACGACGCTGCAAGAACGAACGCAACTCTCCGTAGACGAGATAGCTGAAGGCATAAAAGTATGCCTAAACCTCAGTCAATTTGTTTTTGACTCAATTATATACTGTCAAGAACAAGGTTTGGCGATGGGATCACCAATATCCCCGATTTTGGCCAACATGTACATGGAAGACTTCGAACAGAAAGCTTTAAACGGATTCGAGTGTCCACCAAGGGTGTTCTGGCGTTACGTAGATGACACGTTCGTTGTAATAAAGCGGGATAAGGTGAACGAATTCTTTCAACATCTGAACACATTGGACCCTCACATTAAGTTAAGCATAGAGCTAGAGTCCACATCGGGTACACAAGCTTTCCTTGACTGCATGACACACAAGAGTGGTGGGAAATTAAAAACCACTGTATACCGGAAATCAACAGATAGTGGTGCGGTCTTAGACTACTCCTCTGCACATCCAAAAGCAGTATATGCTAGCATAGCCTCAGCGATGTTTAGGAGAGTGAGAGCACTGTGTACAGAGGAGGTCGACCGAAGAGCAGCACAGCTCGAGGTAAAAAAGCGACTTCAAGATGGCGGATACCCAGTGGGTTTAATTAAGCGACAACTAAGACGGGTATTGGTGCCAACACCAAGGCCCAACAAGGAGTGGATCGGAACAGCGGTCATTCCATACAAAACAGGGACATCTGAAGTCATTAGAAGGGTACTGAATACGGCTAACATTAGAGTAGCTTTCCAGAAGGGGAAAACTTTACGCTCGGTGTTGGTGCATTTGAAGGATCGCCTTCCGGTTGATAGGACTAGGAACTGTGTATACAAAATAAAATGTAACGACTGTACGAAGGTTTATATAGGTCAGACAGCCAGGGAATTGCACACCAGAATCGGTGAGCATAAGCGTTCCTAGAAACGCGAATGAATACCAGGCGTTATTCAAAGATCAATCAGTGACAGGGCATGCTCTGGACACTGGACATAGGATAGATTTGAAGAATGTGGTTTAAAATGCGGTTTAAGATTCACACCACAGCGACTGGTGGACGAGACGGTGGAAATCGCCAAGCATCCCAGTGTGGATAGAATAGAGGGGGTAGAACTTGCAAACGTGTGGAGAGCGGTCTTAGATCAGCCGAGATGACACGAGGCGGTGTGCAGTTATCAGCGAAATCGCCTGGGTCTAAAAGTACAAAAATCCAAGTGGCGTTAGATCCAATTAACCACCCCAACCCCATCCCCAAACCAATTGTCCCAGCACCCTTGGACGAACACAGGTAAACGAAATATGTGAACGACCCCAAGAGGAATTTTCCATTAAGGTGTCCTAGACTGAAGAAGCGGGGACGGAAAAAATCCGGGTTCATCATAAAGACGAACCCCCCCCCTAACCAATCTATCGTAAAGCTTAGTCATCTCCACCAATCAACAAACAGGATCATCAGACTGAACGCCCAGCATTGATCAAGTCACTGGTCATATGGAATCTGAAGGATCGGTTCTCTGACTACCTTGAAACCCAATCAACCTACTTGCTTACTCACTTGGCCTGACGAAGCTTTTGTGTCAAAAGCGAAACGTTGCCCAGCAAAAAATCCACCGATTGTTTACCAAGCCCCTCTGAAAAAATGGGTCCATTACTTTTCCTTTTATCCACGGTTCTTAATACATAATGGGAAAAGCTTTGTGTTGGATGGTTATTGTGTATATATTACCCACATGTTGCTTAGTACTCAAATTGAACTAAATTCGCCTGTCGAAGACTCTATCAGAAAAGCACTGACATTTTTTGCGGGATCGAGCTTTCTTATTAGCTCGTGATGATTAAGCCGAATACACGTATATACCGCCTCGGTCTTCCGGCCGGATCGCAAATTACCATAATGAACGGGTTTTCTGGCACCTGTACCCAGTACTGTCATGCGGAGATGCAATGAGAGTCATTGAAAAAGTGTTGCCCTCTGGTTGCACCAAAGGGCCAATCATACCAGCCGCTTGTGTGACGTCATAATTCCTGCTGTTTCCCCTTGGTACCAAGATTTGGCAGAAGATATGACAGGTAAAAGACAAAGTGGCGGGTTGCACCTCTCATTTCCCAGATGTTCCATCTCATACGCCTCGTGAATGTGCCGGATTGGTCTTCTCTAAAAACCGAACTGGTGAAGCACTGCAAGTGCGTGAATGTGAGAATGTCTAAAGTCCAATTATTAAAGGACGTAAGCTTTAAAAATGGAAGTGTGAGAACGTGTTAGACAGGGTATGATTTACATACTTGTCAAAATCATAACTAAGTGATTTATGTACAGTGAAATGGTAGTTTCATCAAACCAGAAAAGCCAGAGGAATCTTTATCTTGGATGAATTCCGACGCTACTCATGTCCGTCAACGCAGGAGGCTGACGACTCTTCCTGAAACCCGATCGTTAGTTTTACGTTTGCCTGAGCTTGTCGGTTAAATTTCCACTTCAGACAAACAAAACTGAGGCAAACGAGAAAAAACAAATGCTTCGATCATAAAAGTAACGAAGGCTGCTCCGATAACACTACCAATTTTCAACCTTAGCTGGTGGGACAAACATCCATTAATTCTGGTGGCTTATCGAGCAGCTACATCAACGCTCACCTCCAGCTTTCAGGCACCTTCAAGTTACAAACCTCCAGGCAATGCTTTGCTGACCGTATCACTTATGCCGTAGAGCGTAGGAATCAGAGCATTTTTACTTGACAATTTTATCAACCAAGTCCCGACTTTTCAGGGAGCTCCGGTGCGATTTTGTCGCACCAATAGAATAATACTACGTAAAACGGTACAACAAGGGCAACTTAACTTCGTTTATACCATCTAATTCTAGTTGGATTCTGCGTGTCAGTGCTTCATCACCATCATGAGTTTGCGGGATCCTATAGAAAACAAGAAAATTGTGGTAAGAAATTTAGTGAACAGGTTAAATGACCTCGAAGTTTGTCTTTCATATCTTTCACTGCAAATGTGTTTTTGTCAGAATTGAGTCATCTTGTCATGAGTTTGTCGTAATTGTAGTGGGTACCAGTTCATTATTTGGTTAGAATTCATGTAGTAAAATGTGGGAATGTAGCTTGGGATTAGGATGTTTCAGAAAATGGAGTAACCGATCAGCAGGAGCAGGACGGTCCTTTGGTTGTCGTTCGATGTTTCGTGCTTTCCAGGCTCATCAGTGAAAAACATGTCAGGGGCGTCTGGTTTGCACTGCAGAGTAATAACGCGATCACTTAGTGTATTGTGTTCCTGGGTCTGAAATCAAATACATGAGGACACTGGATATTCGTAGGAGAAATCTATCTCCGCACTTGTGTTGGTTTGGGTAAGCAGACTACTCGCACCAGATTAGGAAAAGATCATTATGCAAAAATGATTGATTCGGACAATGTCATTTGCTACTCCACCCATAACCCGCCTAATAATGCGCATTATCAACCACTTGGAACCAGTAGCTTTTGTAGGTGAACATAGCGGGGACAATTTTACTTAATACAGACGTCCGGACACACTAATACAATTAAGATTATGTACGATATTTTCTGAGAAAAAAGGCGTGTTATCAAGAGTACATAACGACTGTGAGACTCACTGTCGTTCACAGTTTGGCGCGACTAAGTAACGGACGGGTATATTCTTCATGAAATGTTTAAGTGAACTACAGGAACTTTCGTTAATTTAACAGAACTTCTGTTACGATCCGGTCCAGTGGTTCCAAACCTTTGGGTCGCAAATCCCTTTGGAGCAAGGGTTCGCATAGTTTTTCAAAATTAGAACATTTACCACTCGAGTATATATATATATATATATATATATAT